CCTCAAAAGTAATCCCCACTACAACATACTCAGCAACTTTATGTAAGCTAACCTTGAAGACCTCCAAGGAGGAGAAACATAATCCTTCCTGAGGCATCCCTCCCTTTGGGATAGTTCTAATTGTTAGGAAGTTTTTCATGATGTTAAACCAACATGTGCCATTTTGTAATTTCTACCTATGCCTCCTATTTCAGACCTTTGGTACCAAACAGCATACAATTAATCCCTCTTTCATGTGACAGCCCTTCAAAAACATAAAGATAATGGTCATGTCTTTCCTGAGCCTTTTATTCTCCAGCCACACATCCACAATTCTTTCTAGTGATTCACCAAATCACTCAGGCCCTTCACAGCACTGGCTACTCTCCTCTGAAAATTCTAACTTAATGTCATTCTTAAACTGCAATATTTGCAGTATTCCAAATGTGGGATGATCCAGGCAGAGTAAAGAGCCACAGTCACTAATGTCTCTCTTAATGCTGCTGAGCACTACATGAGGGCTTTTGTTAGGGGGGGCGGGGTTCCTGCCATACAACACTATTGATTCATATTGGGCTTACAGTTCACCCAAACCTTTAGAACTTTTATCAATAAAATTCTGTTGAGGCATTCCTCCTCCATCTTGTACTTGTGAAGATGATTTCCTAAACTTAAGCATAATCAATCAATAAACATAGTTGGAGAAGGCTTGTAGCCAGGGAGATCAGTAATCAGAGTGTAAGAGGGAGTACACACCAGTCATGGGGGACAGCCACAGGAAATGCCCAGAGCCAAGACATTGAGTGGCTTATTCATGGAACAGCCCAGAAGCCAGTATCACTGGATCAAAGAATATGTGGTGGAAGTAAGGTGTAAGAAGACTGGAAAGACAGCGAGGGCTAGGTTATGAAAGTCATTGAACGCCAAACAGAGCATTTTGTATTTGATCCTGCAGGCAATCAGACTTTACATGTGTGCCTGCCAAATTTTTTTCTCATTAGAGTCAATCTAATATTCTCTCTAGATCTTTCTGGATTCTGTTAGCTAACTGTCCCAACTTAAAATTTTGATGAGTGTGCCATAAGTCATTGATAAAAAATATCAAATAGCACAAAATCAAGCACAGATCACTGGGGCTCTTCACTAAAGACCATCTTTCCAGGTTGACATGGAAACATTGATAATTCTTTGAAGTAAGCCATTCAACTAGTTCTGAATGAACCTAATTATATTTATATGTAGACCCTATCTCCATTTATTCCACAAGAATTATGTTAGCAATTCTTTTACTTTTTAGCAAATGTTTTAGTTTTACTTTTACTTTTTAACTAGCTCTTATGAAGTGCACTGACTTCATCATTCCTATATTTTAAGCTATGATTCTAAAATCCAGTACATCTGAGACCAAAGACCTACTGACAGGAAGATATAAGGATGTTGTAAAGATAGAAAGGAGGTAAGGCTAAGCCAAAGGCATGTGAATAGAAAGATGGAAGGCTGTTTTGAGGGGAACAAGAAGGAAACTAAGCTATACCAAAGGTACTGGGGTAGGAGGCTGAAAGTATTGCAAAAAATCATGTGATGAGACCAGGCTAAACCAAAGGCACAAGGAGAAGAAGGTGTGAAGTGCATGTTATTAGGAGAATGAACACTTGGAAACTGAGACCCTGAACCGAAGAGTCAGCATGGTTTTAATAGAATGAGATCAAGCCAGCCACTTTTGTCTGAACTAGATTAGCAGGCAATACAGATAACAGACATTTAACGATGATGATGATGATGATGATGATGATGATGATTACTATCATAGTCAATGACAGTAACCATAGCTACCATTTCTAATGTGCTTTAAGGCATACTGAGTGCTTTGTATATGTTATCTCATTGAATCCATACAACAAGCCTGAGCAGATGTTATTAAATTTCTCAGTGATATGAAGCATTTGATATGCAGTACCTCATTTGATCACAATGATAAGATTATGAGGTAGGTGTTATTATGAGACCCATTTTACAGATGAATTTGAAGGTTAGGTAAGTGAAGTGACTTCCCCAGTGTCACACAGCTAGTGAATGTCAGAGGTAGGTTTAAAATCCTGGTCTTCCTGATTTCCTGGGTTTTAAGTCCAAGCATTTTTCAGAGTATAGAAAGTACACTGGACTCACTCTCTCAGAAGACCAGATACATCTCCCTTTCAGGATTATAGGGACACCATTGAGGGATTGATAGGGGCAGCACAACTGGCTAAAGCCCCCATTCTATGCTCCCCCACTGTTAGCCCCCAGTGATTAACATCTCAGTTCTACATAGCCACTAACATCAATTCATTTTTGTAAAGAGATGTGCGCTTAAAGTTATAACAGGAACAAAAGTATGAATTTTCAGTGCACACACACTTCCCTATATCACATTGGTCTCTGGGGATAGTATGTCTGGCTTTAATCTAGTTTCTACATAACATTCATTCCACCAAGTTCCCATCCAAATGCATAATCATTTCTACTTTGAGTTTTCATCTCAGGTACTACTGGGCTGGGTCCTGAAGATAGCTCCTCCCTGCTTGGGACTTTGTTGGTGGGTTAGCACAGAATCTAGACTCTTGGATTCCTAGAGTCACATACTCATGTATTCCCATATGATCCTCTTAACCTTTCAAAATCCTACAAGGTTGTAACCCTCAACCTCAACAAAAATGAAAGAAAAACACCAAGGAAAAAACTGAAGCCCATGCCGCATGTCAGCCACAGAGGGGAGAATGCCACAAGCCCTGTAGTATTTTATCTCACCAGATGCCATTAGTGAATTAGTCAAAACAAGAAGAGAGATTCAACCAAGAGAGCACTGGTCTAACCAACAGAAAGGAAGAGGAAGAAGTTAAGGACTGCAGGAGCCTCTTGTTCTGGTTATGAAACTGCAACCAACCAGAGGCCACAATCCATCATCTGGTTAACAGATTAGAACCAGTTATAAAGTGTCTACACCTGCCCCAAAGTCTCTCCAAAGAATTTCCATGACACAACTAGCCTAGAAGCAGACTCGCACAACCTTTGCCACATGGGGAAATGTATCAGCCAGGCACATCGATGGAGTCTGAGCAGACCCATGAGCACTGGGTTTATTGGTCAGTCCCCCATTACAATTGCAATGCTTGAAAATCGTATACCCAGATGTCAGCAAGGATTTGGACCAAACCTCTGATGCCATCTTTGTGGACAAGGTAGAAAAATGAGACATTGATTTTGTCTTTGTGTGAGAAAAAAAACCCTGACAGAGTTATTTCAAGTGGAATTGGCTACCTGAAGAGATAATGTGTTCTCTGTAAATGGAAGTCTTCCAGAAGAGAGTGTATCATCACTTGTTGGGGATGTTGTAGAAAAGGTCCAATCTCTAAAAATGACCTGGACTAGGTCCCTCCTGACCCAAATTGTGGGAGCCCAGAGCTATGGTCCAGACCTCCAGATTACAGTAATATGAGTTGTAGAGGAACTTCAAGGTCATTTAGTGTAACCCTTTCATTTTATAAATGAGGAAACCAAAGTCCAGAGAGGATGTTAACACTGGGAAGACTCTTATGAAAAATTAGTCAAATAGAGTTAGATTGATTTTAAATAGCTGACCCATACTTTCATAGGCTAGAAGTAACAGGAGTAGCATTTGAAGCTGTGTCTTCTGTGGGTTGGACATGATGATCTCTAGGGCTCCTGGGTTCAGATCCTAATCGTGGATGTAAATAGTAACTATTTATCTTTTGGCCAGCACCCCTGAGGATCTTCCCCTCCCAGTTTGATTTTTTTTTATTAAAAGGGCCATCCCTTGACTCATTTTTTAAAGAGGCCTATTCACTGAATGGGCATTACCTCATTCAAAGTGAGAACCTGAAAAGACCTTAGCCATGTCATCATTGCCCTGATGTCATGGTCTTCTTTGAGAATGAAGGACAAACACAAGGTAGTATGAGCTGCCTGAATGGGTACCCAACTGGCCAGTTCCAGTTGGGTAATTCAGATCATTGTCCCCTCTCCCTCTGCTTCTCCCTCTCCATCTTCCTCTCCCTCTTTCTCTTTCCCTCTCTGTCCTCCTCTCCCTCTTCTTTTCCCTCCCCCTGTCCTTCTCCTTTTCTCTCCCCCTGTCCTTCTCCTTTTCTTTTCTGGGGTTTACTGGCTAGATTTCTTTCTCAAAGACCAAGGCTTAAACCCAATTCACTCTAGAGCTTATACATTGGACAACAATAGGTCCCTGCCCAAGCACCACTTCATGGTTATTTTTGGGCCTCCTTGCTCAGAGTGAACGTAAACAGTAACCGTTTCTCTTTTGACCAGTTGGCACTTAGTTGGCATGTTATCTTATTGCTGTCATGATCTTTAATGAACTTATTTCTTTGATTTGTTCTTTGACCCATTCATTCTTTAGGATTTGGTTGTTGAGTGTTTCCAATTAGTTTTTAATCAGGGCTTCAAAGGTCCTATACTGAATATAATGTTTATTACATTATTGTCAGAAAAAGGTCCATTTAATATTTCTGCTTTTCTGCATTTGTTCATGAGGTTTTTATGCCTTAATGGTTCATTTTTGGTAAGGAGTAGTTTGCCATTTTCTTCTCCAGCTCATTTTACAGATCAGGAAACTGAGGCAAACAGGGTTAAGTGACTTGCCTAGAGTCACACAACTCATAAGTAAGTATCTGAAACTAGGTTTGAAGTCAGGAAGGTGGGTCTTCCTGACTCCAAGTTCAGCACTCCGTGCACTATGGCACCACTTAGTGGCCATTAGCATCTTATCTGCATCCATAGGATATTTGATTCAGTGTTTGCCTTGGAAGCCACTAGCAAAAAAGTTGAAGATTCAAGACTCTATGAAGAACCCTGTGAAAAAGCCACACCACACCTAAGAGGAGCATTTTAAAACTCCAGAAAAGGGACTCCCAAGAATTTTTAACCATTTTTTTCTAAGTGTGCTCTCTGAACCTTAGGCAATTTTCTCCAGGCACCATGTGCACCTGTGGGAAAGCCACTCACAGACATTTGAGGAACAAGCGTGTTTGATGCCAACTGTCAATCATGGTGGGATGCACACCAGTGAACATTCATAAGAACTAGAGCAAAATCCAATTCCTGGGGGCTGCTGATCTGGGGAAGTTAGTATACAGGTTCTGAGTCCCCAAGTCAATGAGAGGGGGAGGGGAGATGGTGGATCCAAAACATACACAGCAGAAGCGTCCTCTAACCCCTGACATTCTGCAGTCTATGATCCCCTGGTCCAAATAGTCAAGTATTTGTCCCCTTGACAAGCACCCTAGAGAAAAAAGGATTGACTTCTTGAGAACAAAACCTCCTCTGCTTCCCTGATCCTCTAATGCCCTCTCTCTCCACTCCTGAGGGGTGCAGATGGAAAAGTGTTTCCATCGTCAGTCTGAGCAGAGAAGAAAAGAGCTTGAGGCATGACTTTCCAGAAGCTCTTCTATGCACTGAGTGAGAAGGCATTCTCTTTACTTCTTCTATCCCCATGAGCCCAGATGCTTCCTCGTGGAACCTATCTTTGAAGAGTTGGTTGGGGTGCCATGGTTTTCTGGGTTTTGGCTCTCTGGGTCATCTGAAGCCCCGGACGGATGTGTAGTACTGTTCTTCTGTGGTGGGGGGGGGGGGGGGGGTTTGGCGATGGCTGGCGATCTGGAATCCCTTTGCTGATCCTGTAGGGGTGAAGGATAAAAAATCAAACACGGAAAGATCCTGGGAAGGATCTTGGGGATCTTAGCCTGACCATCAGAACCCAGTATTGGAAAGGACACTGTCTTGGTTTGTGGATGGGGAGTCTTTCACTTAGGGCTCTTTGGTGCACTTTGCTTATGCATGTGACCCACCTGTCACGGGAGGAGAGAAGAGGTCAGGTAGGTGGAACGGGGAGGGTTGTTAGGAAATACAGTGAGGAAAAAAAAAGAAATACAGTGAGGGGAAAATCTTGAGCTAGAAGTCAGAAGGTAAGGTTTCAGACCAGCCTTTTTCCCTGGGTGAACATAAGAAAGGATCTTCCCCTTCTAAGGCCTCAGCTTACCCTCCTGTAATAAGTCAGCTAAGTGATTTGCATACCTCATCTAATTGGATTCTCAAAATAATCCAGTGAATAAGGTGTTAGATGCATTATTAGCTCCATTTTACAGATGATCACAATGATTCTCAGAGACATTAAATGATTTACCCAGAGAAAATCCCATGAAGTATCAGAAATTGACTCTGAACCCTCTTCATAACTGCATATCCAGTCTACCCTGCCAAGCTTCAACTGGACTAGAGTATTTAGATGCTCTTGTAGACCATTACCCTTTCTGGGACTCAGTTTTGCCCAAAGAAAAATTAAGAGAGTTGACTAGGTAATCACTGAGATTCTTGAATAAATTTCTTTCTTCTCTTGGGCTCTGTAAAATGTGGCACCAGATAGGCCCTAAGGCTAAGCCAGTCACTGACTGTGTGACTTTAGGAGAGTCTTTTTCCCTCTCTGAGCCCTAGCTTTCTCTTCTGTAAAATGAGTTCTCTATCATTTCTTCCAAGTCTAAAACTTAAAAAAGGAAACTGTGACCTTGAGTGAGGCCCTTTCCTCTCTGGGCCTCAGTATTATTCTCTGTAAAACTTAGATGGGTCAATCCAGGTGATCACTAAGCTTCTTTTCTGCCCTGAAGGAGAGATACTGTGATGCCTTGGAAAGAATACCAGATTAGATTCAGAAGATCTATATTTGAAAACATTCAGTCATGAAGTGGCCTCAGCTAAGACACTTCCTCTCTCTGGCAATTTTTAATTTTTTTTGTCTGTGAAGTGAGTAGCTGGTACTAATTGATTTCTAAGGTAGCTTCTACCCCTAAGTCCATGATCTTATGATCCCATTACATGAAGGAATCCTTTGGGGACAGGGGAGGGAAGAGGAGGTGAAGTATGTCTTGAATCAGAGCCTTGCAATAGAGAGAATTATGGCAGAAAGGAAGTGACCAGGGCCAAACATTTTCCCACTTTAGACTCTCAGGGATATGAATGACTTTAGAGACCAGCTATTTCCAGTTACTCATTGGACAAACAAGAAAATTGGGGTTCAGAAAAGGGAGGAGACCCACCTCTATGTCCTCTTTTCGTCCTCTCTTCTTCCCATCAAACAAGTTTCTGATCTTACCACTCAGCTGAAACTTCTCTCCTTAAAATCACCAGGTTGGACAATTTCATGGATTACCTTGGGCAAGTCACTTCACCTTGTTTGCCTCAGTTTCCTCTGTAAACTGAGCTGGAGAAGGAAATGGCAAACCACTTTAGTATCTTCACCAAGAAAACCCCAAATGAGGTCATGAAGAGTCAGACACAACTGAAAAATGATGTAACAAGAAGATTATTTAATATTTTAAATCACCAAATCTACCCCACCCTCTAACTTCCCTATTTCTATTGAGGACACCACCACTGGATCTACCAGTTAGTCATACCAACTACCCAATTGCATGATTCAGTGTCAGACTCAATTTCTCACTCCTACACACACACACACACACACACCATTTCCTCCATGTTAGTTACCAAGCTTTGTATATTCTGCCTCCACTGATTCCCCTATACCCATGCCCTCTTCTCCCTTCATTTCACCACTATCCTAGCTCACGCCTGTATCTTTCATCTCCTAGACTATTACAATGTCCTACTATGTCCCCCTGCTTCCAGTCTCTTCTTTCTCTAATCTATCCTCCACAAAGTTGCCATGTTGAAAGACCTAAAATGTAGGTTTGACTAGGTCACTCTTTGGATCAAGAAACTTCAATAGCTCACATTGCCTCTAAGGTAAAATACAAAGTCTTCTCTGTTTGGCACTTCAAAGTTTTCACAATCCAGATCAAACGTGCGACTCCATGATGATTCCACATCACTCGGGCAATTTCTATTCCAGCCCAACTAGCCTAGCTTTCATTCCCTGAATGGACTATTCCATCTCCCACCTCTGCATCTTTGCAGGTAGAAACAGGAAGTACCCCCAGCCCAAAATAGCCTCATTCTCCCTCCACTGGGCCTATTGGAACTTTCAGATCTCCTCAAACTCAACTCAAGGGCCTACAAAAAGCCATCATCAAAAAATCATGAGTATTCTCACCCTGCCGTGTTCTTTGCATATATTTCATATACACAATATATATCTGATTTCTCATTGTTTCCCCATAGTAGCCTGTCAGCTCTTTGTGGTCAGGGACTATTTAATTAGTATTTGCTTCCTCTGGTACCAAGCACAGTTCCAGGAACATTCTTTTCTTTTTGGCCTGATCTGTTATTTCCTCAGTCTACGGAGTTCCCAGTGAGGAATTTCTTCTCCTTATGAAGATCAGCAACTGTTCTGAAACAGAGCCAGAGAATTAGATCTGGGGCACTGAGAGGACAAGTGATTTGTCTGAGGTCATGTAGCCAGTAGGAATCAGAGATGGGACATGAACCTGTTTCTTTATGACTTTAAGACCAGTACTCCATCCATTCAACCATCTTGCCTCTAATTCCTTGCACAAAGAGAGAGCTTATTAAAATCATTCTTGAATAGAATTTAAGCTGATGAGATCCTATCATTTCATAGATGAAGACACAGAAGCAGAGAGAGGCAAGCTCATGTCTAAAGCAACATAAATAATAAGTGATGGGAGTCGACACAGCAGAGTGAGATCTTAGCAATTTTCCCACATGTTGCCATGAAATCTTCTCCATAACAAGTGGGCAGCATTTGACATTCACTCTAATCTGAACTGCCTCAAGGAGGAAATAATACACACACACACACACACACAATTAGGTACAGAAATTAATTTTACCCACCAAGGAAGTAGGAGGGAAAGTGTTTAAAAGAAAGGAATGGGGATAAGAGGGAGGGTGGATTAAAGGAGATAATGGGTAGTGGTCAGAAGCAAAACAGACTCTTGAGGAAGGGACAGAATAAAAAAGAAGGATATATATTTAAGAGAATAGGATGGAAAGAAATACACAGTTAGCAATTATAACTAAATGGGAATAGGATAAACTCACCCAGAAAATGAAAGAGGAAATCAGAATGGATTAGAAATCAGAATCCAACAATATGTTGTTTACAAGAAATATACATGAAACAGAAAGATACAGATAAAGTTAAAATAAGAATATGGGGCTAAATGTATTTATGTTTCAGCTAAGTAAAAAGGACAGAGGTGGCAATCATGATCTCAGACAAAGCAAAAAACAAAAATTGACCTAATCAAAAGATCTAGTCAAGAAAACTACATTTTGCTGAAAGGTACTATAGCCAATGAAGTAATATCAATGTGTATATATACCAGATGGCATAGCATCTAAATTTTTAAAGGAAAATTTAATAAGTTATAAAAGAAAATAGACAGTAAAATTATAATAGTGGGGGAACCTCAAATTGCCCATCTCAGACCTAGATGAATTTAACTAAAAAAAAACAGGAAAGAAATGAAAAAGATAATTAGAATTTTAGAAAAATTTGATGTGATAGACCTCTGGAGAATACTGGATAGGAATAGAAAGTAACATACCTAATTCTTAGCTGTGCATGGTACCTTCCCAAAAATCAACCATTAAGGCATAAAAACCTCACAAACAAATGCAGAAAAGCAGAAATATTAAATGGATCTTTTTCTGACCATAATGTAACAAATATTATATTCAGTATAGGACTTTTGAAGCACTGATCAAAAATTAATTGGAAACACTCTACAACAAAATCCTAAAGAATGAATGGGTCAAAGAACAAATCAAAGAAATAAGTTCATTAAAGATCATGACAACAATAAGATAACATGCCAAAATTTGTGGGCTGTAGCAAAAGCAGTAGTTGGGGGATATTTTCTGTCTCTAAATGCTTATATGAATTTTTTTAAAAAGAGAGAAAGAGAAAATCAGTGAATTGGACATGCAAATAAATAGCAGGAGTCACTTTTGAATGTCTAACTCCAGCTACTTTGACTTTTAGTGGGTGGAAATAGGGTTTCAGTAACATAGTCAGCTCACTCACCAAAGCGACTCTTTCAGGAACCTGATTGATAGAGTCCATCTCCTTCCTGTCCTGGACATCTGGGTCTTCTACCTGCTGCTTCATCTTCCTTAGGAACTTCACCCTGAAGGAATGAGCCCAACATTTGACAGGATCCTTGGTCCCTTCCACTCTCCAATTCCACCCCTGCAGAGGTCTCTCTTCCCTTTCCTTATGTTGCCTCCCCATTCACCATGCCAGGATAAGAAAGAGGGTAAGGAGGGGCATGATCCCAGATCCCAAAAGTGCCCCTCTGCATAATGTGAGGGTGTCTGGCTTTGTTCTAGCTGCAGAGAGAGAAGATTAGGTAAGAGAGACTCTCTCAGGACCCAGGCATTCTGTCCTTTGTCCTCCCCCACACACCCTTATCTAAACTTCCACTAAGACTTGAAGCTTTATTAAAACAATCTTCATGACTCTCTTGGGAGTTCCATAGTGCAAATATTATTCTCTCTATTTTGCAGAAAAGGATACTGTGGCTCAGAGAGGAGAAGGGATTTACCAGAGGTCAGGCAATGAGATGGGCCAAGTTTTAGGTTTACCTTTCCTGCAACCACATTCAGAGGTCTTTGGCAGTCCACACTGCTTCTCACGCTTTCTAAATTTTTTCCATATCACTGAAACCTCAGACCTTCCTGTGAATTGAATTTGTTTATCTACTTGGACATAGAGAGCCATTGCCTCCAAACTCTAATTTCTTCCCCTCCCTCCCCACCACATTTCTTCACCTCTGTTCTTATATCTGGATGCCACTTGCCCCCGATCTCCTATTTCCTTCCTACATCCCAGGAATCTGGGTCCAGGTCCCATTACCCTCAAAAACCCAGGCCCCCTGCCCCATAGTACTCTCCTCCATCAGACACTAGTAGGATGCTAAGGCTCAACATTCCATGTTGGTTCTTCCCAACATGATTGGGAGGTTGAGGCAAAGGTTGTCAGGCTTCCCCCTCAGGTTCAAACTGTTGTTGGCCCAGGGCCCGGAGGTCTCTTGACTTTAAGATATACCACAAGTATAATTATTATTATTATTATTACTATTACTATTATATAGATAAAGAAATTGGAATCCAAAGCAATGGTGTGACAGATGACCTGGGTTTCAATGCTGGTTCCACTGCTTGCTCCCTATGTGACCTTGGTCAAATTGCTTCACTTACCTGGGCTGCAACTTCCTTCTTTGTAAATTGAGGAGCAGGAGGTGGACTTGATCTATTCCGAGGACCCTCCTAGATTGGAATGAGGATCCCCTGACAAACTGATGAGCCTATGGGATGGGCTGAGGAAGGGTCAGAGGCCACATTCAAGCCCAGGACGCATGACCCCAAATCCTGTATACCTGCCTCCTCTGCTATGCTGGACACTACCTTGTTGTCTTTCTCCAGAAATCTGCACCTTCCAAATGTTCCTGGTATTCTGTCTCCCAGACACATATTTCCCCCCCATCTACCCACTTATTAGATCTCATTATTATTGTAGACTCCAGGTATCCTACCCTCCAACACTCACAGGTTATTCTGAGCTGGACAGTTCTCTCTGTGCTCACTTTAGCCCCAGGGAAAGTCATCTGACATGTGAGGTTGGTGCCATGGTCCTAGAGCTTTGGCATGAGGGACAACCCAGAGAAAGACTCCCAGGGGAAGTCCTGGCTGCATCCCTGGGTAGAGACAGCAGCCTCTGTCCAGGAGAAGTTGGGGGGTGTCCCCTCCCCACACATCCAGAGGGCTGCACAGATCAGGGTCACCAGCTGACCCTCCTCTAGAGCCTCTGGAATATATATGGTTGACTTCTCTATCAGGGCTGGGGGTGAATAAAGAAAGTGAGCTGGGTGCTGGAGAAGAGACCCCAGCTTCCCAGACCCTCCATTAGCTAATAGCCTTAGGTCAATCCTTTAGATGATGCTGGGGTGTCCTAGCACTAAGGTGACCACTCCCAGCCCCAGTTCTGTCCTGAATCTTCAGCATCTGAGCCACTCTGCTCTGCCTGTGGTTTTGTTTTTTCCCACAGTGGTTCCCCCATTTGGTGATGGCCTTAAGACCATCCCCCATACTCACCATCTCCTTACCTCAGGTGTCCCTTCCTCCTCTGACATCCCTGGCTCTCTTTCTAACTCTCAGGGCATTCAGGAGAGTACTCAAGGCCTGAATCATTCATTCATGCCTGGGGTCCTATTTATCTACAAAGATGATGCCAAAGGGTCCCCCCTCCTCCACCTCTCATGCCCTCCATTCATTCCCCAGCTTTGTTACTTGCTCTGATTCAAATCCCTGTGGACCCATGGGGTCCTTCCCTTAGGACATGGATCTTGAAAGGCTTAAGAGATCAAGGGCTCTCCCTGCTCTGTGGCTTGGCTCCCTTTCCTGTCATACTTCTCACATTCAGATTGGATTTATATTTCAGTTAATTGAATTTTATTTTCACTTCCCTCTCTATCTGAAAAAAGCATTGCCCACTGTCTCCTTTCTGAGCATCTGTGATATGCAATGAGCAGTTATTCTTCTGAGGGTTCCCACAACAAGTGAAATCGCCCCCTTGACTCCTCCTGAACCTTCCACCTCGGGTCATTTGTAGCCATAGGATTTTCTGTATCAGTGTTGGCCCCATCCTTAAACCAGGATCTAAAAGCCCAAGAAACACTGGTCAGAGGGTGAGAGAAATTGCAAAGGATGTTGATGCACAGACCGTCCTGTACTGTCACTGATCCTGGGACACACACCCAATACCCTGGATGCTGGGACAGGGACCCTGTGGGCAGAGACAGATTCAGGCAACAATAGTGATCTCAACAGAGAATATCAGAGCTTGGAAGGACCTTGGAGAGCTAAGTCAAAGCTAGGAATGACCAAGCCTTAGAACATTGAAAATAGGAGAGCTAAAATGAACCTCACTTAGAAGATAGAACTTCAGAGAAGGTAAAAACATTAGAGTTCACTTAATCTGACCCCCTTATTTACTGACAAGGAAAACAAGCACCAGAGAGATTTTGGTGATGTGGCCAAAAATCTCTACGCCAATTTCAGAAGCAGGATTCCAGCCAAGGACGATGATATTTCCACCATCCCATATTCCCCAGGCTTATGGGAGTGTCCTTGCATGTTCCCACCCCTACCATGTTCCTACTCACCCCGCAAGGAGAGTAGAAACAGAAGCAGCCACATCTCTGAGCCAGGAGAGGGCCAGGCTTTATCTGGACACTGGGTCGTTTCCCAGGCCTCTGTCCCAAGAAGGATTAAGAACAAAGGTGAAAACAGAATGGAAAATTCAGATGGGTTCCCTGCCTCCTTGAAGAACAGTGTCTGAAATAAGATGGGAGTTGAGGGCCCAAAGGAAATTTTCACTGTCTTCTCGTATGGCTCCCCTGATCACCTTACCCCAGCTGATATTGTCCAGTGTAAGGCCAGGAACAAGTCCGATAAAGCTGTAGCAATGTGTGTATGGGAAAGGGGTGATAAAAATAGAAAAGGGGGAAGTCCCAACTTTCCCCAACCCAGAAAAAGAGAGAAAAAAGAGAAGTGAAAGTCCCAGGCAGAAATACATACTATCTAGATGTGCAGAATAGCCTAAGGCCACAACCAAGAGGCAGGCCTAGAGTCAAGAAGACCTAAGTTTAAATCTAGACCTTCATGTACTTACTAGCTGTGTGACCCTGGGCAGGTCACTTAATCACTGTCTGCCTCAGTTTCCTCATCTATAAAATGTGAATAATAATAGCACCTACCTCCCAGGGTGGTTGTAAGGATCAATTGAGATAATATTTATAAAGCTCTTAGCCCAGTAAATAGCACATAGTAAGCACAAGATGAATATTAGCTATTGTTATTATTACCTCCCAATGACAGAGAACTAGCTTCGTCCTGAAGGAGGCCACTCCACTGGCGGATAGTTCTTTTTTTTTTTTTTTGTTCATTTGCTTGTTTATTTTTAACAAACACATATTATCTCTCCATACCACTTCCCCTCCAAGTGAAAATTTTACTAATGAAAAAATTAAACCCTCATAGCAAATAAGCCAGGTCCAGCAAAACAAATTCCTAATATGGTTATGCCCCAAAATGTGTGTCTCATTCTACATTTTAAGTCCTTCACCTTCCTGAGAGGTGGTAGGTGACCTGTCTCATTTTCAGGCCACTGAATCAGAGTTTATCATTTTATTGACCAGATTTCTCAGGTCTTTTAAGGTTGTTTTTCTTTAGAATGTTGTTGTAATTGTAAAAATTGTTTTCCTGGTTCTGCCCATTTCACTCCAAAACGATTCATAAAAGTTTGCCCAGTTCCCTCTAAAAAAATTGTTTATTTTTTCATCTCTTATGGCACAATAACATTCCATTCCATTCATATGTCATAATTTCCGTCTTTTTTCTGAGAGGTAGATCTTCCCTCCCCCCCCATTAGTTTCCAGTTTGGGGTTAATATCGAAAGAGCTGCTATACATATTTTTGTACAAGTAGATTTTTGTACAAGTAGAAAGGAAAATTTCTTTGATTTCTTTGGGGTATCAGCCTGCTATCCTGAATGACCAGACCAATTCACAACTCCACCAACAATGCACTAGTGTGACTATTTTCCTGTGGACCCTCTCTTACTTGTCAGATTCTTCTTGTGACATCTTTGCTAACATGATGAGTTCAGGTAGCAGATCAGAGAGGTTTTCATTTGCATTTCTGTGATTAATAGTAATTTAGAGCATTTTTTTCTCACTCGATTCTTGGAAGAAGTCATATGTTTTGACCAGATGTTTTGATTCCCCTTTCAATTTTACTTCAGATCTTCTGGACTTGTCCACCATGCCACAGCTGCCATCTTCCCCTAGACCTCCCCTCAGTGTCTTGGGCCTCCTTGCCTGGACCATCCCTCTATCATGTCAGCCTTCTTCTCCCATTTGTGAATTCCTTCTGGGGCCTCCATTTTGAGGAGCAATCATGTTTGGCCAGACTTTATTTCCCTCAAAGCTCTGCTTTTGACTTTATAGACTTTGCCACCATGGTACTTGGGAACCATCTCACTCTAGAATTTTCCTCATCCTCACGCTGAAACATACCCCTGCCATACCAGCCTCATTCTGTGTGTGAGTTCCTCCCAAGGCCTCCATTGATGGGATGGATTGGGGAAAGGAGAGCAGACTTTCTAGACTTCAGCACTATCCCACCCTTCCACCCACAGCCCACCCTACCTCCAGAGGACATCTTCCTCCACTCCCTGCTTTTTAGCTACCTTTTGAATGTTCTCTTCCCTCATTCAAATATAAGCTCCTTGAGGTAAGGAGCTATCTTTCATTGCTTGTATTTGTATCCCATGAGTTTAGCAGAGTGTCTGGCACATAGTAAGGGCTAAAAATGCCTTTTGCTTCTTTGACCATTTATCTCTTGAGGAATGGCTCTCTATTTTATATATTTTTATCAATTCCATAGATAAAAAGATGATAGACAGGACAGAGAGACAGAAATAGAGAGGAGACAGAGAGAGAGAGACAGAGACAGACAGAGACAGAGAGAGAGAGAGAGAGAGAAAGATGGGCGGGAGGCACTTTGGGGCCTGTTGCAATTCCTCATTAGTTACCCCACCCCAGGAGGAGGGTCTTTGCCTGGATCAGCCATTTAACAAGCCCTCTCGGTACTCTGTTTTTGTTTTTGTTTTTGTTTTTCTTTGCGAGGCAATTGAGGTTAAGTGACTTGTCCAGGGTCACATAGCTAGTAGATGTCAAGTGTCTGGTCTGAGATAGGATTTGAACTCAGGTCCTCCTGACTCCAGAGCTGTTGCTCTATCCACTGCACCACCTAGCTGCCTCTCCTCCTGGTACTCTTGCTAGGCCTACCCTAGCTCCTTATCAGTTGTTTCCCTGCCTTCCTTTCCAATTCAGGTAACCCCACTGGCTGATGCTCTAGGAGGACTCAGCCCCGAGGCTTACACATTGATTGAGGCTGAATCCTTGACTGGAACCACCATATTGTGAGAAGGCCCAGCTAGCTATACTGCTCTTTCAATACTACCAGCTTACTCTCCAGCCTTTACCATCTCCATACCAGCTGCCTGGGCCCCAGAGGATGATGCAACCTGCTTGAACTTGTTCCTTAATGATTAGCATACTCCCACTCTATCATACTCTCCCCAACCCAGTGATTCTGAAACCCAGGCTGTCATACCAATCTCATTCCCCATTCACTTCAACCCAATTCCATCAATGTCCCATTCAAGATCTACCCACCCTTTTCACCGTGCTCTCTGGAATAGCTTCTCTAAAGAAAACAAACTAGCCTTCATCTTAAACTTTTCCTTTCTCACCTCTTCCATCTTCTTACACCCACTGAGACCTGACTCCCTCCTGATAACACAGCATTCCTACCATTTCTAGAACTGTTTACACTTTTACTCACACCCCCTGAACTCACTCATTTTGGTGGAGAACTCGAAATATCCCTTGCTTCTCATTGCCACTTCCAGACTGTCTCTCTCTTTCTCTATCACC